ACAGTCCCTTCAGTCTGAGTATGTTCAGTACTAAAGCCTTGCTGCTTTGGTGAAACCTGTTGAGCTCTTAAAATCGAAGACCTTCATGAAGAAGACCTTGAGGAAGGAAGCTGCTCACTCAGAGGAGGAATCTTCAATACAAGACATATTAAAACCTTAACACCAAGAGGAGACTTCTTAACAGGCAGAAATTTCTTGTTAATGACTACTGCAGATGCACTGATGTTGAATTTATGAAATTATTTTACGCTATGTTATATACAGATTTAAATTTTTAATGTTGAGACAGCTTGAATATATTTCTAATGAGTTTCATTAAGACATTTATTAACTTGTGTACAGTGTTAAAATATGTATTAAAAGAATATTTTGGTAAGCAATATATATATTAAAATTATGTAAAAACTAGAATATATTTTAATTTAGTGTTGTTCACTTTGCTACAAAAATGTGTATTTTAAAGAATTTTTACATGTTTATCAAAGATGAAAATTTTTTATGAACAAGATGTTCTTCTTGTTTTATGGGTCCATCATTATTCCTAAAAGCCTAATGTAATTACTTTTTCACTAATTGGTCTTCTGGTAACTTAATGGAAGTCCAACTAGTGAAAGACTAGTTATCACACTGTCAACTGAAAGCACTTGATACATAGCCTGCTTTCCACTTTCAGCTGCTAATGTTTCATAAGGAAATACTATGAAAGAAAAATAAAGGGAAAATATTTGTTGAGATGTAATGTAACTTACATCTTCAATTGCAAAGATAAAGTAATTTATCTGATGATTCAATTGTACAATGAATGCTTTCTTTCAATTTGTCTTAAAGGAATATTTTAACTTTTTTCTTTTCAATGTAGAGTGTTAAATTTTGCTATGCAATACATGCTGAAAAAATGAAGGCAGACCAGACTTAAGTTGGTAAGAATGTGTATGTACAATGAATTTGGCAGTGCTGCATACTTACATGTTTTTAACCTACATTTGGCAGTACGTGTACAGTTTCATTAGCAAAGCATACTAAAGGAAATGTTGGAAGGAGATTAAATTTTCACTTACCAATTGGATGCTTCATAAACTTTTTAATCTGAAAACTATTGTTAAACACACAGCTGATGTAACCTCCTGTATCACAGGATGTTGTCACTAGTAAAGATGCTCTTTAACATATAGTTTAATCAGGTGTGATTAGGAATGAGACTTGGAATGAAGTGGTACTACAGTGAAGTATTAGAGATCACGTGTAAAACTTTCAGCACTCCACAAGTGCATAGTAAGCAAAAAAACGTAAGCAGCTGTGAGGACTTGATTTGTCTCTAATTTAGAAGACAAAACCAAACCAGATTTGCTACCTATGAGTGATTCCGATACCTACGGAAACTTGAAAATAAAACTTGGTTGAATTGTCAGTCTTTGTTCCTGAAGACCTGTGAATGCCCTGCATTTGCTTTACAACTGAAGTTAAGATAAAGTGCCACGTTATTTTTTTGAAAAGATCAGATCACAGATTGCTATGGGAAGTTGTACTGAAAGTGTTAATAAGCAATACTGAGAGCAGCTATATAAATCACTGAATAAAATTTACATGCAATACTGTACTTTTTTTCACAACTGTGTATATGTAACATATACACACACGAAGTAGCATATGTGTGCATATATACACAATATACTGTATACAAATTATAGATTAATGGTAAGGTAATTCTACCTCTTATAAAGAATTTTATGTGCTTTGTTATAAATAGTTTTCCTTAATAAAATATTGTTTAATTTTGAAATGTAGATATATATATACGTACAGCTAATTGATAATAAAATGCCTATATCAGCCATCTTCCTTGTTTCTTGGCTTTTCTTACTCAGATCTTTTGATGTAAACTAATATGAGTAGATCTCTAATTGAAGATTAGCTCTTCAAAAGCACCTTCTTTCTTCTAAAGCATATAATGTATTTGTAAGTAAGATGACATTGCAAGAAGACCTTAGCATGATAGGTGTCTTTTATAACTGATCTCTCTAGCTAACCTTCTTGTATTTGCTTTGTATAACACCAAGTATTTAATCAACGTGTTGATATTATGATGTAAAGGTTATATTTCAAAATACCATAATTTAAAAGCTGTGTCTGAATTGAAGAAACTTTTTTTTTCCCTGGACAAGGACCCTTGCTAAAGGTGTAATACACCTTGGCTTTTTTGCATGTGCAACAGGTTTCTTAGTCTCACTAATAGCAGGGTCTTTGTCCATCAGAACCTAAAAGATCATGCTTTCATTTAGCTTTTTAACCTTCCTTCAATTAAAAACTAGTCACAAATGGTTCTAATGTTGTTTAACTCTGCTGCTGATTTTCAGCAAATTTGTTGTGTTGCAGGATTATTTATCCACAGTGCTTAATATTCCCGTCAGATAAGTCTGTACTGCAATAGATGGTGTGGACAGTATGTAGCTGTTACACAGCCACTCTAAAGGAATGGCAAAGCCAGAATTAGAGTGGATGCTTTAGAAGTTGCCCAAATTCTAGTAACAGTCTAATCTAAAAACACAATAAAAGGCTTCTGCCACTACATTCAGACAATTAATGGATGTTGAGTTGGATGTGTAAATATAAAGGAAGCTTCTAGTATGTAGGCATCAACCTTTCCCTTAGCCTTTTTCTAGACTTAACTTCTATTGATTTATTATGTGAAATACAGTAAATGCCAGCTGATGTGCAACATTTTTCGTTCTTAAAAATGAATGATAAATGTAGCCAGTATTCTGTAACAATCAGCTTCTTAACAACAAATTTGGGGACAGTGAAATGTCAGGGAGGGACTTAAGGACCTTGTCGCCTTTAAGAAATACCCTGAAATTTGTTTCATATCCTCTGTTCACTTATCCTTGAACTTTACCATTTCCATTGCTTCATATATATATATATATCTCCTTGTTCTGGGAGAACAAGCTGTAGCACATGAGACCTTTAAAAAGAGGTTTGATAAACATGTAAGGATGGATTAAATAAATCGAGAGGTCTCTACTGGGCTTATGATTCTGTGGCTAATGCCTTATGAAACTGTTAAAGCATACTTTAAAGAGATGATTATGAAGCTTTTTGGTTAGGGAGGTATTTCTTGTTACAGATTTAGAGAATATTTTTCAATTACAGTACTGCAGAAAGAGGAGGATTTTAGTTTCTATAATAACTGTTCTCTACTGACAGCTAAACAATGAAAGGCCTCAAAAGGTTTGACACTTGATTAGATCTACACTGTAAAGTGCAGCAGGCAAAAAAAATGGTAATTAAGGGCCTGATCAAGTAAATCACTCAGGTTATGTCTTTAACCTTAAGCACATGAGCAATCTAATTAATTAAAAAAGAACATAGATATTCATGTTTGTAACAAATCCACATTTGGATCAATAGTCCTGTCAACTGCAAACATGAGCCTCTCTGTCAAATAAAAGATGTGCTACATTGCAACAAAATAATCCATTGACCCACACACATTAACTTCATTATCTTAAAGAATGTATATTGTAACTGTAATTACATCCTAATATATTATTTTGGTATTGTCATTTGTTAGCATTGCGAGTTTAATAATATGTAAAAATACCTTATAAAGATATTTTTGGTCAATATACAGGTCATACCTTACGAGCTGAGATTGCTTACTTCTGTAGCCCACATATAACCTACCTGTAAAAGCAGCATTTCTCCTGAACCCACCACAAAATTAATCAGCACTCGTTTTCTGGAAAGCTTTTGAGAGGAAATGTAAGTTCTTCTACTCAGTTTCTTATTAAATCTTGGCCAAGGTAAGGACAGTTCACATTTTGTCCCTGTTTGAGTAAAGCACTGTAGAGTTCCTGGGAGAATCCCACGACTAACTCTTCTCCTTTCGGGAAGGGACTGTTAAGCCCTACTTTTCAACCAGCTTTTAGTGCACCTGTCACTCACCTCTGCGGGAACTTGTGCTCTGAATTAATTTCGGTGTGAGACCGTTTCAAACGCTACGCTGATTCTGTTTTATCTGTGTACTTACTGTCATCAGCATTCACCTCTGGCAGGTTGGTGATGCAGGATTTCCTGCGGGCTGAGACAGGCTGAGTTTTATGAAGAAATGTAGAATATGTAGATGGAGGACAAGCTTTCTCAAATAAGAGGTACTGTCTTACCAAGGATCTGTCTATCTGTCGTGTTTGAAAGATTTAATTTGGAAAGTATATTGTTGTTATAGACCAGTTCTAAAATTAACTTTAAGCTTGCAGAAGCATAGTGCACTTTCTCTTAACAAAAATAAGATCAGTAAAAATCAGTTTGAGTATCTAGCAGAGGAGTTTCTGCAGGAAATGGATTGTATTTCAGACAGAAGTGACTGATACTGGTTTGAAAGCTGGCTGCAAGTGAAAGTTGTGTAAATGGGTTAGAACCAGGAAACTGGTAAGGCAAAGAGAAAAGAGTCAGACTGTAGTTGCAGTATTTCTGGAGCATGATAGGGTTTGGGTTTTTTTTTTTTTTCCCCCTTCTTCTTGATTTAACAAGTTGAAAATCTGCTGAATAATTCATGAAGAGTGGAAGGGCTGAATCTTCCTGGAATGATATACAGTGTACGTACTGTGGCACAGGAGAAACTGCAAAGCTTTGTATCAGTTGCTGTCGTTTCTGCTGCTGATTGCAAGGTGCTGCTGCTTTTGGCATTTTCACGGCTACAGATTCCTCAGTCGTGCTCTGGTCTGCTAACAGCTACCTGCTCCCTATGGACCCACCTTCGCTAGCTACAATCTGTGGGATCTCTTGCCACCTGCCTGCCTCGGACACTGCTGTTCTCTGGATCGTTACTGCGAACTGCGTTTTCTGGACCTTGCAGCTTGTATGACTGAAACCTGCCTTAAGGGTCCCTCGGCTGCACCTCCTCCCTTGTGCTTGGTGGGAGACTCCCAGAGCAGGATCTTCTGACCCAGACAAGGATGGGATTTACAGGGAGAAGTCAAAACTGAGCTGCATTCAGCGAGATGCCCAACGCCTCTTCCTGGAGTGCTAGCTCGCCTCTGCTGCTGCTCTGGGAGGACTCCTCCGGGACCCGCATCTTCCTGTCGCTGCTCTATGCAATCTTAGCTATCTCAGGGACTTTATCCAATGTAATGGTCATCTATTTAGTCTTCTCCTTCAAGAAGCTGCAGACAACCAGTAACGCCTTCATTGTGAACGGCTGTGCGGCAGACCTAAGCGTGTGCGCCCTGTGGATGCCCCAGGAGGCTGTGCTGGGGCTGCTGCCTCCCAACTCCTCCTCCCTTCGCTCGGCGGAGTACCGGCTGCTCCGAGGGGGGCTCCTCAGCCTCGGCCTCACCGTCTCCCTGGCCTCTCACCTGCTGGTGGCCTTCAACAGGTACGTGCTCATCACCAAGCTGCCCAGCGTGTACCAGGCCCTCTACCAGCGGAGGCACACGGGCTGCATGATCGGGCTCTCCTGGGCCCTCGCCCTGCTCCTGGTCCCGCTGCTGCCTGGGCTCTGGACCCCGGGCTCTG